ATGGAGCTCATGGGTGGCCTTTCGGATACAGCCACAGATCATCACTTTTGTTGTTGTTAGTGCTGCTGTAAGCTTTTAGTTCTGGGCCTGAAAAGATGTTTAGCTCCACAGTAATAGACAGGGTGCACAGGAACTTGGACTGCTGAGCTATCATGGGAAGAAATGAATGGGAAAGAATGGTCTTATACCTTGCCCTCTCCCAAGAACAGTCTTACACGTTGTAGCTTGGCCCATTACCTGGAGTACAATTCTATCCCTGTATTGAAAGCTGTCTTGGAGTACTTTCTGTCACACTACCCAGGCTGGTTCAGTAAAATTCATGCCTGATAAAGAACTGATCATTTGCTTGAGGTATCCCCTTCTACATGAAGGTTGCTTTCCTGGAATGTGAAATCTTTGAAATGACATTTGCACAGTCAACTCCTGGGATGTGCCAATGGCACAGCTTGAACCAGAGAACTTAATAGTTGCATTGCTTACTGGGGCAGACCTATGTTCACTTATTGCTCCCCTCAAAGGTCTTAATGATCAGAAGCTGGGGCTGAGAAGGGAGGCCTGGCATGCAAACTACTTGAGTTCCTTCTAATGCCTCCCCTGGTCCAAAGCTGAAATAAAAAACCTGAGGAAGAGGGGAAGGGGTGGATGTGCATACATGTATGGTGGTAGTGGAGTGCGACTCTGAAGAACTCTGGTTACATATGATAAAACTTTATTACTTCTTTGAGTAGTCTCTGCACATTCACACTCTTGGCAATCTGTCGGGCAGTATTCATTCATACCGAGTGCTGAAAGAAGAGTCCTGGTTAAACAAGGCATTACCACACTGTGGACTTGCCTCCCCTTAGATCTTTAAAAACTAGTGAAACTGGAGCTGGAGGGCTCTATAAGGATGAAAAGGAGGCAGCTAATACAGGTTGTCTCATTTTTTAAAGACTGTCTGCTTAGATATTTATTGTCATCTCTAGTAAGCCATCTAGAATTGGTAAGGTAATCTTACCCATTATAGTATGACGTTGTACCACGATGTCACCTGCAGTGACAAAATGTCAGCACAGAGATTATTAAGGGTACTTTAACGTATGAAGTGGGACTGTTCCACTGACTTCAGGGTGGTCCTGCAAAAACCAGGATGCACATTATAATTTGCGTAGTTTGATGCTCTTACAGCGAAGAGACTTCAGAATGGGCTGTACAGATCTGCCTTTTCTCACTGCTGGTGGACATACAGAGCTATTTGAATAGATGCTGCACACATTTCTTCACCTTGAATTTACCCTCTGTATGCAGGTGCAGGTGCATGCATCAAAATCCATGATAACCAGGCAGGTCTAGAAGGATGATTAATTGAAAAGATCAGTTAGATTCTTCCCTAAATTCAGGTTTAGCTCCCTTTGCTAATAAGACTTCAGTAGGGATGGGCAGAAGAAACCTGCCACTCTGCTCAAGATGCTGAGACGTATTTGGGCCATGCTCAGAAAGGTGATAGCTAGGGACCAGCTGCAATCTTTGTGAAATTCACCAGGTACCTGGCATTTCTAATCATCAGTTATCTACTCTCAGACTTTATTCCCTTCCTCTCATGTTTTCTGAGCTTTTGTTATTTACAGGGACATAGTCTGTTTGCAGATGATAAAATTCATTATTAGTGAAGCACTGTGTAATTATCCACAATTACAAGCTGTTACTAGAACTGTTATTTAAAGACATGAGAATAGATAAGTCACCTCTCTATTTAGGGCCCAATTCCATGCGTCCATATGCAAAAATATCGCAAAGAATTTCAGAGAAATTTCTATGCTGGGCTCACCAGAACACATTGTGATTTGTTTGAAAGTCAAGAGGAATGAAACATCAATTGTGATATGGACATGAAGAGAAACTAATGCAATGCTATCAGGTTCAGACATAACTACTGTCCTCCTCACAAGCACAAACAAGAAAGGGAAGAAAGTGAACAGGAAAAAATTATGAGTGAGCACATGTGTGTGTGCACATGTGTGCATGCGTATGATGCTTGCTCATCAAATAACTGAAATTTTCAGGATCATCAATACTGCTGAAATTATATAGTGGATTTTAGTCCTTGTGGATGAGATTTTCACCTTCAGTGCAAACAGCAGCACTGCTTGCTTAAGTTTTCAAAGGAAGGTAGGAGATAAAAAACTGTAGTGACAGTAGAAGTTGATTTAGGAAATCCAGGTTCCTTTGGCAATAACTTGTGTCTGCACAATGTTGCTTTTATTTAGCAAATAACACACTTGGGTTGGGTTTCTGCACATTTGCAACAAAAATGAAAGGACTGCAACATGGTATTGCCAATTTTACTGAAGTCTACACCCAGCTCCTTCTTAAAGGGTGCATCTACACGTGCAATTAATGTGAAGCAATAGACTCCAAAGCAGTTTGAGCTGGAGTAAGCTACACCAGTAGTATAGCATAATGCTGATACATATGCCCAGGGTAGCAGCAATTTGATCTGGGGGGAGCAGGCCCACATTGGCAGGGAGTATGGGGGGGATCAGCCCTGAGCTCTGGGTGGCAGTGTTGGATGGTGGAGGGACTGGCTAGGGCTTGAGGGTGCTGCAAATGCAGAGCCATGTGGATAAGTAGCTGGCAGAAGTCTGGCCCTGGCTGACTGGGACCAATTTAAGCCTGCAGTCAGCATTTACACGTGTGTTTAATCATAGTAAATTGTCCCGGTGTAAGATAGTACTGTCCCTGACAGTATTCTCTTACGCCGATGTAAATGAGTTGATTGTGGCCTCATGCCATTGCACGTGCAGATGGTGACACTTTACAGCTAATTAGTTGACTGCAGTAAAGTGAATGTGTGGATGCAGTCACAGTGTGTCATATGAACTGGTTCTTTTTTCAAACATTAGAATTGGGGTTGCTATAGGGGATGGGCTGAACCTTGTAGTCAGGAATTTCTGTCCTTAAAAAAACAGAAATTATAGCTCAGTGGATGAGATCCAAAACTAGGGTAAACTAAAATGGTGCAGCTGAGTTGGTGTGGCCTATTATTTTCAAAGATGAGAGAAACCAGGCTAGAACTAAGCCTCTCAAAATTTTCCTATTTACACTTCTTATAACTATGCACTAGAATTTTTGATACTTATAAAATTGCTTGGATAGGAGAATTATTTTTATATAATTATAAAATGACAGCAAATATATGTAGGGAAAAAGAAAAAAAATAACTAACATGCCCACCACAGGAGGTACAGGTTTGCAATCCACATACAGATCAACAAGATGAAACCACCTAAAAAATCTAGTATGGATGTGGTGCTCAGTTACCAATACGATTTTATGACAGAATTGCCAAAATGGACTATGTAAAAATAATAGAACAAATCCTCCATTCATATAAGGAAATGAAGTCAGTAGATCTGTGGGCATCTACCCCAGTTGAGTACCTAACCCTATATTTCTAAAATGATTGAGTAGAAGAATATGTCCTGCCATGACAAGCTTGATCTCTGTACTATAAAGCTATTTTCCAGTGCTTTATTTCTGTTTGGTTTAAACATTTCAAACAACAGGTTTTCTTCCATTAAAAGTCTGTTCCTCAGTCTAACAAACGTTGACTGGGATTTTCAAAAGCAATCAGCATTGTCTTAACTCTGCTCCCACAGAAATCAATGGGAACTATTAGCTTCCCTGGGAACTGAGTTAAACCAATGCTAAGCCCATCTGTCCTTTACTTCTTAGACAGTCTCTAAATTATCTTTTGCTTGTTTTCAAGTAGTTCCAATGGACCCCAAAGCTATTCCTTGCCTTCTCTTTTGATTTACACATTACAACAGGGACAATTGCTTTAAAGTTCTTGTTTATAAAGGATGCTCTGGAAAATGAAAACGTAAAGACTAATTTTCATAGATTTCATAGACATTAGGGCTGGAAGGGACCTCACAAGATCATCGAGTCCAGTCCCCCACTTGAAGGGCAGGAAGTCAGCTGGGGTCATAGGATCCCAGCAAGGTAAGCATCCAATTTACTCTTGAAGGTGTTCAATGTAGGTCCTTGAACCACCTCCGATGGCAGGCTATTCCAGACCATGGGGGGCTTGGACAGTAAAGAAATTCTTCCTTATGTCCAGCCTGAAATGGTCTTGTAGTAGTTTATAACTGTTCGACCTTGTCATCCCTTGGGGCGCTCTGGTGAACAAACGTTCCCCCAGGTACTGGTGGTCACCCCGATAAACTTATAGGTGGCCCCTGGTGGTCACCCCTGATAAACTTATTTGGTAGGTAGAAAGTTACAGGTAATGCCAGAGCTGTATAAAAGTTGTTTCTCACCTTACGTGTTAATCTTCTCTTTATCTCCCGTTTCTCCTCCTGCTCCTCTTGCTCGTTCCGAGCTAGAAAAGATTTACGAGGTTCTCAGTTGGAGTGATCAAGCATCCACAGTGTGCAACCAATACACCTCTCCAGCAGTACAGGCCAAGTCCATCCAGTAACTGAACTTCCCTAACCCCTTGCTTGCAGTAATTTCATTTCCTAGTGTCTAGCACCACCAGAAGGGGAATGTTTAGAAACCATTGTCTCAATGCCCAAAAGTCCAGAGGCCTTGGAGTAAGCACAGATGATACTGCTAGTCTCTGAGGGGTGCAGGCTCAGTAGCATAATTGAGAGGGTGTAACTGGGGCACAACTT